ATCAGATATTGTCCAAGATTAACCTTCAGGGTGGATCTAGCTCGCTCACACCGAGGACCTATCCACGTCATCATTTACCCAGAATGCTTTGCACGTAAAGAAAATGGCTCCATCCGTGTTAAAATATATCTTTGAAAATTTACAAAACTAAACAGACTACAGTATTTTTACAGTCTTTATTTTACAGTTAAAATAAATGTTTATCAAATAAAGTCTAATGTTACAACTAACCAGAGATCCTTTTAAGAGATTTATGTTTTTTTTTCATGAGCAGAAATCAACATATTCCCTTTTCTTTGAATTTGGAACATTGGTGGAACATTTTAAAGGTAATTTCTGCTCTTTGTGGAAGTTATGTAACCAGCTGTTACATCTCCATCAGAGAAAATGAGCTGGATTAAATGGATGAAGCTTTCCATTAGTTTAAGAGGAATCATTTCTGAAGTATAAACTAAGAACGGTTGTCATTCTGCCAAACTGTAGGAATATATATTGTGATTCTTTTTACAGATGGCCTCTGACAGGCTGAAATATCCAATTTCCAGCAGCAGGCATCATTATTATGAATTMGTAAGTAAAGTGGACGTTGGTTGCTCTTAGCAGGAAGTAGTTTGTCCCAGTCTTGGTTATATAAAATTATAATCTTATGATTTTCTTCATGAGGGTGTAGAAACAATGCCCTACATTTTGCTTGTAAAATGTGAAAGAAGTGACCAAAATATAAAGAATTGATGTAATTATTTGTAATCCCACACACAAAAAGATCAAATATTTTGGCGAGTTCTGTTGGCACAGACAAGCAGTTTTTACAGACTGATGATTTTTTTTTTTTTTGTCATTTTAAAATTATTTTTGTAAACACAATATCATTTCTAGAAATATTTCAGGACAAAAATTCTGGACCAAAATGCTGTAGTAGCCATAGCAGCCCTCTAGGCGGCACTGCTGCAAAAATACACCATAAACAGGAAACAAGGAGCATACACAGAAAGCCTGCACACTGGGTGAAAAAATGTAAAGAGGACACACTCAGGTCATAGGTTAGAGTAGTGGTGTGCTATGATGTCATCATTTTTTTTTCCAAAGAGTTTTYTCCGTCCACACAAAAACACAAAGTTTTGAGATTTCTCACTCTAAAACTGGTTTTCCATCAAATTCTGTAGGAATTCCTAATATGGCAGTTTTATGAAGACACATGTTAAAGGGATGGAAAAAAAACTTTCATAAAAAACTCAACAAGTGAAGGTCAGGTTTGATCTTGTATAACCAGAACAATAATAAAAGTACTAATACTTATGAGTACAACTTTAAAACAGTAGTTCTACTCTTTTAAACAGGGTATTATTCTAACCTTAAACAATAAATATCATTTGGAAAAATCACATTTTAACTCTGACCAAACTGACGGGTTAGTCTGAGCAGCACTTTACTAACTTTTACGTTGTTGTCAGTTTTGTGTTACACAATATTTCTGGCATAAATAACATTGTTCCTGCAGGAAGTCCCTCAGGCTGCACAGGACGTGCTACACTTAGCTGCTGACACCATTAGGGTTTGCAAATGTTTTTACAATTTCATGTAAATAACTGTTTAACACCAAAATGATGCTTTAAAGGTTTCTAGACTAGCATTTACTGTGCATCATTATCAGTCTGGCCCAAATGAAAGCTGTCTACAACAGGTAGGATACTGATTATTCATTGCCTTCCCACAGAACTCCTCTTTGGAAAATCTGAACAACTTCAAGAGCTTCAATTATGTTAAGCATTCATAATATTTAGGCACAATACTGTGAGAGCATACAGAGCTTTGTGTGTGAGCCTGCATGGGATGACATTAGGAGAAGAATCTTTATTTTATTACACAAAAATCTGATCTTTAACTCCCAAAGTAAAGTTGTAAAAACACAAGCACTCTCAGAACACTGAGAAATCTCTGCACACGCATTAGAGAAATTGTTAACACACCCCAGGAGCAGAGGATGACTGTAATTGCAGCATCAGGGGAGTAATTGGAGGTGGGGGGTTGGGTTCAGTCCRGACTGGTGACTGGTGATGGGAGCAGACAGTGCTGATCATTCACTGAAAATAAACTGTTTCCTAACATATTCTGTCGCCTCTGTCTGTGTGATCAGAGCACCGGTTCTTATGAAAATATTTCAGCCTAAAAAAATGTTTTTTATTGGGCCGACATCTGGGTCAAACTCCACCTTTCTAACTTAAAAATTACCTTTTTGTTTTGTTTTAAAAACACCAAAACACTGAAACATTTGATTGCGGTGGAACCCCTGCAAATAACGTTAATTTGTTTTAGCTTGGCAAGTTAAAAAATATGCCATCTATGTGACAAAATGTGTAAAATCATGTGTATTATTTCGTATTTCTTAAACATTACAATGTTTTATTCGCCTTTTTTGTATTTGTAGAAAATGCACAGTTACGTTAACGACTCAATGCTGTTTTAAAGCTTAGCCGTAACTTTTCTGCTGCGTTTTGGCCGTAAAAACAGTTGTTATTTTCTCTGACAATGAAGCTTTTTGAACCTGGGTTCTTGGAGTGCAGATTTTTTGAAATTCACAGGATTTGTGTGAAGTTACACGCGCGCGARATCGACGGCTGCAGTCAACAGTTTTTCTGCACTCGCACACTCAGAGGAACAACAGTAACAATGGCGGACAGTGCAGCGATGTTTGAAATACTCACTTTTCACACAGTATTTCACCAGTTTGAGTGTGAACGTTTTGAGGAGGAGTTCTCTGCAGACTCAAAAAACGGGTTTCTCAAGAGTAAACACTAAAAGTGTTTCAATTGTAGTTTTGCAAAATACACCAATTTTCTTACGGCCGAAAAACCACCTTATAGCGCAAAACCATTTTGTCAAAAAAACATATATATTTTTTAATTTAAGTGTTTACATTAACCAAACTTATTTTCAAAATTCTAATTTGCACATTTTCAAGGTCAACAAAACACAGCTACTGATTGGCTATTTGTATTTGCTCTGTTTTTCTAAAAAGTCGGTTCATCTCTTTAATTTTTTTTTATTTTTGACTTTAACTATGTTTACATTAATTTTAGCAGACAAAACAGATTTTTTAAAACCAAGTCGCAATGTATCAAACATGTTAGTTCTCCCTATTTCTAAATATCTAAAACAATAATTTAAAATCCGCTAGAGACTGATGTTGCTTTTATTTTGAAGTGTATCTGTGAGTTCTTTGTTAGAAGAAGTGGAAATAATGAATGAAGACGTTGGGTCCAATATTGGCGGCGTCTCCACATAAACATACAATAATGGTTAAATGGTTATTAATATAATCTGCAGCCTATTATTAAGTCTTCTGATGACTTTGGTTACAACAGAAAGAAACTAAATAAATGAAAGTCCGATGCTAGAAAAATAAACTAACGATTAGGCCTGTCACAATAAACAAAAAATCAAGTAGCGGTCTCTTCGGACGAGTGGGCGTGTCCCAACGATTCTAAAGCGACACACCTGATTTGACGGACTTTTTTAAGGGGACACACCTGACTAGACAAGCAAAAAAAAGGGGTGTCACCGTACGGTTCRACCTGATTAGACAAGAATAAAAGGGGCGTTACTGTACGGCACCACTTTTTCTGGAGACCCCAACTTGGGTCARGTTTCTCCTGGTTAACCTTAGTGTTGGGGTCAGGGTCAGGCTGTAAAGAGATCAAGCAGAATCTAAGGAAACTGTCATGTCGGCCTCGTAGCTCACAGTGTTTATGCTTTAGACACGCCCACTTTTGTGACACGCCCACTTTGATTCCGCAGATAACCCCTTCTCAATCAGGTGTGTCCTTTGAGAAACGCCTTCCTTTGGAAACACCTACTTTGTCTGCAATCATACCTACTTGCAGAGTTGTATAAAGTACCACAAAGTGATACCTGAGTAAAAGTACAATTACTTTGGTAAAAGTTAAAGTCTCTTTTAGGAATATTACTTAAGTAAAAGTATAAAAGTATCTGATATTTTTTGTACTTAAGTATTAAAAGTAAAAGTATTGATTTAAATTGAGCAGTTAGTCATTTATGCATTTTTGGGGGTGTCACCGCCTAATAAATGTTATTACAGAAAATCTATGTCCTATAAAAATAATTAATTTATGTTAAATTTAGGATGCACTAGTCTGTTTCAGTACATATATCAAGGCTGCCCAAACCTTTTCTCCGAAATAAAAATCTATCTGAGTGCTGCGGCCAAAGGCAATAATATAACTCATGAAATACAAATACTTCGTAAGTACAGTACTTTTATTTTAATGATTATGTCCTGCTGGAGTGTGACATGATTAGTTTGTGTACAAACTAATAAGGTATCAGAATTTTATATATTTATACTTCTCATTCAACCACAGTTAAATTCACTCTAAGCACAATTTATATGGATAGTATTTATTTTTTATAACAAGCTGGAATGAAAACAAACAAAAATGACATCAGAATAATGACTTTCTACTTCTTGCCTTTTTTAAAAATGTAAGGAGTAGAAATAATTGTGTGAAAATGTAAGAAGTAGAAGTAAAAAGTAGGCTGAAAAATAATTACTCAAGTAAAGTACAGATATCCAAAAATTCTACTTAAGTACAGTAACAAAGTATTTGTACTTAGTTACTTTACAACTCTGCCTACTTAAATATTTTCATGCTTGCGTTGTTGACATACTGAAACCAGCTCAGTGACCTGATGTGGAAATAATAATGAATTCAACAAGCACAGCTTTACAGTGTAAATAAAACTTTTCCACAATCAACATCAGTGAAAACACTGAAGCTTCCAGAGATCCTTCATGTTTAAACAGTTTGTGTTTTTTTTTTTCAGGTTAGCTTCACATTTCTTCCCAGAGTACAAAAGCAAAACGGTGCAGGAGACCGATGGGGTTAATGGAACCAAAGTCCACAAAATCACAATCAGTTTGTACACAAAGGCCGTCCAACCACCTCTGTCTGGAAGCTATTTAACATCTGTGTGCTCAGTTACCTGTTAATAAAACACAATTAACTTTTAGTTTTCTCGCACGCTCACGCCACAAACACAGTGTTTATTTGCTCAGAAGAGGAAGCAGATATGAAAGCTCAGGCAAGGCTTTGAAAAGCTATTATACACCGCTGAACCCACAGACACAGTCTGTCTGTCTGTCTGTCTGTCTGTCTGTCTGTGTGTCTGACTGTCTGTGTGTCTGTGTGTGTGTGTGTGTGTCTGTGTGTGTGTGTGTGTCTGTCTGTGTGTCTGTGTGTGTGTGTGTGTGTCTGTGTGTGTGTGTGTCTGTCTGTGTGTCTGTGTGTGTGTGTGTGTGTGTGTGTGTTGTGTCTGTCTGTCTGTCTGTCTGTC